CTGAACGATCTAGACTTCGCAGATGATCTGGCTCTTCTATCGCATACGCAACAACAAATGCAGGAGAAGACAACCAGTGTAGCAGCAGCCTCAGCAGCAATAGGTCTCAATATACACAAAGAGAAAAGCAAGATTCTTCGATACAACACAGCATGTACCAATCCAATCACAATTGACGGAGAAGCTTTGGAAGATGTAAAAACCTTTACATATTTGGGCAGTATCATCGATGAACAAGGTGGATCTGATACAGATGTGAAGGCACGGATTGGCAAAGCAAGAGCAGCATATTTACAACTGAAGAATATCTGGAACTCAAAACAATTAGCAACCAACACCAAAGTCAGAATTTTCAATACAAATGTCAAGACAGTTCTACTGTATGGGGCGGAAACCTGGAAAACTACGAAATCCATCATCCAAAAGATACAGGTGTTTATTAACAGTTGTCTACGCAAAATACTTCAGCTCCGCTGGCCGGACACTATAAGCAACAACCTACTGTGGGAGAGAACAAATCACATCCCAGTGGAGGAAGAAATCAGGAAGAAGCGCTGGAAGTGGATAGGACACATATTGGGGAAAGCACCGAACTGCGTCACAAGACAAGTCCTCATATGGAATCCTCAAGGTCGAAGGAAGAGAGGAAGACCAAAGAACACATTACGCCGAGAAATGGAGATAGATATGAGAAAAATGAACAAGAATTGGATGTAACTAGAAAAGAAGGCCCAGGACAGAGTGTGTTGGAGAATGCTGGTCAGCTGCCTATGCTCCATTGGGAGTAACAGGCGTAAGTAAAAGTAAATATGTAAGAAACGATAATATATATAAACAAATAATTGATAGGTCATTAACATAGATCAAATTTTTCACAGATTACTGTAAATAAATCCTCTCTTTATCAGTTGAATACTGTCTTTTTATAGATATTATAGTAATTTAATAGCTGAATTTACAAGACCGATAGGTCCTAGGTTCGAATCTCACAAGGTTGGATCGTGGGTAACTACTTCTGAGGAGTCCCATATTAGGACGAAACAGTAGTCCAATGCTTCCAGGTTTCCAACGGTGGTCTAACATCAGTCGATTCATGATGTCAATAAAAAAAACAAAACAACTTAATGATCTCGAAAACCCCAATTTTTCTGATAATATTATTGTAATTAAATAGCTGAATTCACAAGATCGCTAGGTCCTAGGTTCGAATCTCACAAGGTTGGATCGTCCAATGCTTCCAGGTTTTTCATGGTGGTCTAGTTTTAATTGACTCATGAACTCAACTATTAAATTCTTATAATTTACCATAATTCACTATTTTATGTCAATATAATAATTTTCTTCTACAATTCTAGATATTTTGTGTAACATATTGATCTTACTCATAAGTAGTTAACTTGCAAATGTAACATATGAACGTGTAATTTTTGTAATCAGAGAGGGGTTTGGTGGATATTATAGTAGTTTAATAGTTGAATTCATGAGCTAGTTGAAGATAGACTACTATGGGAAATCTGGAAGCACTGGACGACTGTTTCGTCCTATTATGTGACTCCTCAACAGTGGGCATCTACGACCTCGCCCCCCTGTGAAATTCGAATCCAGGACCTATTAGTTAAGCGTTCACGTGCGAGATTTCTCATGATGATCTCGCTTCAATTGACTCATGAATTTAACTATTATGGTATAATTTTTGATTGTCAAATTGGATAGGGAACAAAATAAATACTATAACAATTATTTATACCTAGATCGATACCAGTATCTATATTGATATTCAGATTCAATGAGTTGTTGTCATACACACGTATACGTATCGAGTATTGATTAGTTAGGGACATAACTGTTATTTTATCATCTCGATTATGTTTGTATATCTACTATGCATAAGTGACATGTCAGTTAATATGTTGTAACATTGGATACATTATTCCTCTGACCCAAGTTACTAGTGTATATATATATATATATATATATATACTCATGTATATATGTTAGGTCAACTATCATCAGCTTAATCAGTGACTTACCTACAATACCAGTTCATGATTGATCAGTATTGAATATTTGTGAATCATTTTTAAAATAAACATAAATTTTGGCAATTTGTAACAATTTCATCGGTCCTAATCGATGTATTTTATTCACACATTGGATAATAATGATAATAGTAACTTTTTTTTTTTTGATTGAGATCATGAACCGATTGATGTTAGACCACTATTGAAAACCTGGGAGCACTGGACGGCCATCCCGCCCTATTGTGGGACTTCTCAGCAGTGCGCATCCACGACCCCGCTCGCGAGATTCGAACGCAGGCCCTTCAGTCTTGCGCGCGAACGCTCAACCTACTGGACCACTGAACCGTTGGTGTTAATGTCTAACCTCAACCAATCCATGAGGTTGCGCGACTATCTTCTATTGTACTGAGATAGACACCTATTTCTACCCGAAACGGAATAGCTCCATTAGTCACGACTTCTCACCAGAACTCTGAGGATTTTCTCACGAAGCTAGTCACTAGTAAGCACATTGTAATTAAACTTGACAATCTCCACAACGCCTAAATTGATAATAATAGTAACGTATTACCAAATGACTTATTCTGATTAAAGGATGCTGACTCAATGGTCTAGAGATTAAGCGCTCGCGTGCAAGACTGATAGGTCCTAGATTCGAATCTCGCGAGGTTGGATCGTGGATGCGCACTGCTGAGGAATCCCACAAGTTAGGACGAAACAACCGTCCAATACCTTCAGGTTTTCCATGATGGTCTAGCTTTAATTGTCTCATGAATTCAACTATTGAAATAACTATATTATCCACAAAAATCTTTCTCTGATACAATTTTCTTTGAACTTTCATTAATCACCTCATCTATTGAGGTAGTTTTGTAAAGATTTCATGAATTCATTATGATTTTATTCATAAGTGGTAATCAGTTGCATAGTACAAGGTACATAACTTCATGTATTATCAAGTGAGTTATGCTAGTTAGATAGAGAACTAGACAAAAATGAAAAAAAAATGGTTTATAGAACTGAATGTTCTCGTGGAGGAGCATAGGCCACCCACCAGCACTCGTCATTCAACCTTGTCCTAAGTAATGCCTTCCAGTTGTTATTTATCCTTTTCATATCTGCTTCTATTTCCAGACTTAATGTGCTCTTTGACCTTCCTCTTTTCCATTTCCCTTCAGGATTCCATGTTAGAGCTTGTTTCGTGATGCAGTTTGATGATTTCCATAATGTATGTCCTATCCATTTCTATCGTCTTTTCCTAGAAATGGAATAGTTTTGATAAATCCTGGAAAGTTGACGCATTTTAATCTGAGATCTGGAAGATAAAGAATGAATGCATTTGTCTCATAGTGACTAATTCTTAATAATGTCACCAAATGTCTCTAACTATTAAATGTGATTGTTGCTCAGATACCAACCAGGTCATCTGTATCTACCAGACCAACACTGAGTAACTTTATGAATTTAAGCCACATTCTAGTTTGGCTACCTATAGCTTTCCCCTAACCTTATTTTATTCAGACAGGATAACTCACAGATTCATGAATCGATATGCCATCTTTATATAGGTATCTTGTGTGTAAACCTAAGGATTATTCATTCTGTTGTCTCACTATATTTGAACAATATTTCATAGTCATAAAATCAAATACTTCCAGACTGTGGACATATACATGAGACTTCGTGGGTATAAGTAATACATCTCCTAGTCACCTTAGTTGATGAGGATTTACATAGTCACTAAATAACATGGTATTTCTATGTAAAACACTTTACTGGATACTTTCATAAGTGTAAAGTTCTTCAATAATAATCGAGATTTCATTCATAGTAAATGACATAAAGTGATTCATTTTCTTTCACCACAATCATTATGATCAATATACTTCCCTAATACATACACATGTATAACTTCATGCATTCAATTGTGTAAGGTTGTCATAGTGATAATATTTGAATGAATAAACCAGAGAAGTAATTGAAGGTTTTAATTCGTTATTATGTAATGAAAAGTTGAATACTTTGGTCACGAATTTGATTTTATCTATTTAAACATATAAACATTAGTATATGGAGGCGCCAGGCAGATATGCGCTACATAAATCATTTAATTTTTATGAGGGATGGGATACTGCCCTGATGCCCAAGCCCCGAAGCAAGTGGTTTTCTTAGGGTGTCTGTCATACACCAAGCCTTCAACCTAAAGGTTTAATCCACAATGCAGTTTAGCAACGTCAGGAGTTGGAGCCTCATGGTAGCCGGTAACTAAGAATGGGTTTATACACCATTTGCTCCTTTAGGATATTGGAGACCATGTGCATCATTGGTTTGGAATCATGGTTTTCCAGCTGTCCTAGGTTAAAGCGATGGACATTCACTTTCGTATTGTCAATCTCATCAACACTAATAATGCCACGAGAAGGCAGTGAATAGGACTTTTTGGACAGTGGTTGTATGCACGTAGCCATGTGAGAGCATTTGAAGAGAGAGAGAGAGAGAGTTGACTCTCCCCACTCTTTGCCATATCAGGGCATTTGACGGCTTAAAGGTGGCAACCACCCCGGCTGGTAAATAAATATTTAGATTATTTAATTTAGTTTTGTATGTTTGATGATACTGTACCCGCTGAACATGATTTTATGGCATTCCGATAACGTAATACAATCTTACTTACTTACTTACTTACGCCTGTTACTCGCAATGAAGCATAGGCCGCCGACCAGCATTCTCCAACCCACTCTGTCCTGAGCCTTCTTTTCTAGTTTAGAACGTCATACAATCAGTGCAATTTTATTCAATCATTTGTTAATGAGTTATTCCAAATGATTATTTATTCCTAAACATTTAACTTTAATTCTATTCTACTATTTATAAAATGATTATTAAATTTAATCATGGGATGTGTATATCTTCTTATAGATATCTGATAATGTCAATGTATTAGACAATGAATTATATACACCAGTAACTACTACAATCATGACTATACCTTATCATTTAAATGTCAATTGGGTATCACCAATTATTACTGCTTTATCAATGTCAACATGTTCATCTATGTTAAATTTAACTTCAAATTTATCACATTCAATATCATCTTCACAAATAGTAACATCATCACTATCCCCATCACCATCACCATCATCATCATCATCATCATCACGGTTATTAATGTCATGTTTTCCACAGATAGTAACAAAGTTAAGAGCATCATCATGTTTTCCATTTGAACGTCAATCAGACAATATATCCTTATTATCCTCTAATTATCCACAAATTAATATAAATAATACAGATAATTTAATGAATCATAATCATGATAATGATGATAAACCATTAGATTTAACATTGAAATCCTTTACAACAGTAAAATCAATTGAATCTATTACAAAAAAATTGGATAATGAAAACTCTAGACGAAAATCGAATAGAACACGTTCACAAACTAAAAAATCAATATCATCTACAACAATGAAAATAACAAACACTTTAGATAAATTCAATTCAATACATCAAGATATTCAAACAAATCATCAAGTTGAAATGATTCAACAATCAGAATGTATCATATCCACATGTACAAATACTACTACTACTACTACTACTACTAATATAAGTAGTGTAGAATTAGATCAGAATAATTGGATTGTAAATATACAAGATTCAATAAAAATAAATCAATCTAATCAAAAACATCCAAGATCAATATCTAATCATCGTAGACCATTTAAAGTATTTAGTAATAGAGTTCCATTAATTTCTACAGAACTTTTATTGAAATCTTCTAAATTGATTGATCCTTTATTATTAGGGAATACGATTGATCAATCTGTAAATGATGATGTTATTTCAGGTTCTGCTTCGGCTACTGCTACTGCTGCTGCTGATGCTGATGATGATGCTGCTGCTGCTGATGATGATGATGATGAATCGAAATCTATGGAACATAATATTAAACAAAAAACTACATCATCATCACATACATCACCTCTTTCATCAACATCAATCATTTCTATTCCTAAAACAAATAAGAATAATTCTAAACGGAAATCACGTAGATCTCAAAGTGCATCAGCAATTGTAATGATACCATTCAATCAAACTGAATATACTAATGATAATAATAAAAATATAATAATTGATGAAACATTATCTACAACAAAATCTTTAGAAACTCTTTATAAACTTGATAAACCTGTTGATTCCCTCACAACAACAACAACAAGAACAACAACGGCGACGACAACAACCACAACAACGGCACAATCAATTAGATCTATTTCATCAACGCCTAGTTGTTATTCCAGTTATACTGAATTAATCGATCCCAATCAACATCATAATAATAATAATAATAATAATGATTCAATAAATATTAAACATACAGATTGTAATCCACGTATGAGACGTTTCCCTGAAATGACACCATCTGAAGTAAAAGATAAAGCATATTGGGAGAAAAGAGTTAAAAATAATGAAGCTGCTAGACGTTCACGTAGAGCAAGAAAAACTAAAGAATTAAGTTTAAAAAAATATGCTGATAATTTAGAAAAAATAAATTCAAAATTAATTGAAGAAATTGATTTATTAAAAAAAGAAATTTTACATTTAAAATCTGAAAAAAAATCAAATAGTAACTAAATTTTTTATAGATTAGGGTTACTAATATCACTCCACCCAACCCCACCCCACCCCACCTCCATGCCTAACCCCCTTTGTTTATCCGAACTTGAGATTAGCAGTAACCCTAGAGAAGCTTCAGGCGGAGTGATAACTCAAATGTATATACCCTAAAAAAATTTATTATTATTTTTTTTATTATCAAAAATCAATATATTTTTTTGTTGTTCAACAGTTTCTTCATTACTCATTGAAAGATATCGAATAGAGTAGCATATGAAAAGAAAATTGGGTTAGAGGTGGTTTTAGTGACCTGAGAGCGTGACCGCAGTGCCCAAGGAACAATTGTTTAAGGTCGGTCACACACACGAACTTTTCGTAGCTAATTTTCGTGTTAGATCCGTACTTGTTAGGACCTTACTCCCGGAGACGGCAATCCGTGAGACAAGGTGAGGTGTGTAGTTTCAGGACCGACATTTTCTAACCCCATCCCTCCTTGTGGGAAGGCATCATCTCTATTATGCTGGTTGTCTGAAGGAAACACCTTACTGCTATCACACTTCTATACAATCAGCAGTACGACTTCGTACCTTGGGTTTGCTGCTTTTTGTCTCACAGCTTTTCAACCGACCTGTCTGGTATGTTAGAACCTTGAGGAACGATTGTTCCAGCCGGTATAGCTCGATTGGTTTATCACGATAGGCAAGCCCGACCAACATGTCAAGGTAGCAACAACGGTCAAGTTACATCATTAATCAAGAAAGGAATAAATAGCTTCAATAAAATTGATGGGCATTCATTTGAAATGTATATTATTTGAATGCAATTTTAACTATCCAACTATCAGGACTCAGTAGATAACTAGATAACACAATGGCGTTTGAATTGAACGGTACTGGGTTCGTATCCCAAATAGGATGAAACGTGCGTCAAATTGAATTCTACTGTTAGCCACTATTCATCTTTGCTTAAAAAGCTTATAATTTAAGGCTATATCAAGGCAATCTACACAGGATGCATTTATGCCAATAAGAGACTGATCAATTGCAGTCCTGAATATCATTAGAAAGATTCAAATAAACAATACCAAGTGAATTTAAATATTTCCAATAAACAGAAGCCTAACAACGTACAGTGTAAGAATAAACATCAAAGAATTTGAATGACGATTATATAGGGTCTTCGTAAAAATGCACATGAAAACATAGTTTTCAAACACACAAATGAACGAATTGTAAAAAAGTATAGGTGATATAGCACATATTGATAAAATTCACCGAGTCTGCTATATCTGAGTCTATAGATTTTCATGTCTGGAATAATAATAATAAATTGATATTAATCAATATATGCTCACTAGTGACTGGCTTTCAAGAGGTATATCCTGGAGTTCTAGTGAGAAGTAGTGACCAGTGGAATTCAACCGGGTCTGTTGAGAGATAGTATCTCACTGATGACAATGGTGGATGTGTCACTCAATTTCGTGGATTAGTTGAAGTTAGATATTAACACCGTTGGATGCCGGCCAGCTCAGTGGTCTAATGGTTAATTGCTTGCGCGTGAGACTAATAGGTCCTGGGTTGGAATCTCGTGAAGCGGAACCGTGGATGCATACTGCTGAGGAGTGCCATTGTAAAACAAAGCGGCCGTCCAGTACTTCCAGGTTTTTCATAATCGTCATGAATTCATGATCTCAACTATTAAAATAATAATCATAACTAAAAAAAAAACTGTTCTAGATTCTTTAATTTTCAAGTTTTATAAGATAATACTTAAGCCATAAAACACTAATATCCATGATATGCAACTGTAGGCGATATAAACATTTTGTAAATTCATTCATCAGGGTTACTAAGGTTTAAAATAATATAATGTTATTCATCTTTGAAGTATGTCACAAGTTATGAGTTGTACTTTTATGTTTGAAGCGTTATAATACTATCGGACTGGCAAAACGAAAGCGGGTTTTAGAATACCCGATAACTAAATTAGAATTGGACGTCTTTTGTTTCCTAAAGATCCTGCAGCCCATCTGCACCATCGGTTTGAAATCAGGGTTTTCCGACTCCGTTTGGTGTATCTTCAATATCCAACAACTTGGTTTAAGTGTCGCTCATTCACTTTACATCGGCCCATTTATGCAAATAGCATTTCTGTCATCTGAAGTTAATTAGGAATACCCTGGCATAGGCTTCAAATACCAGGTTATATGGGAATATTTTGAGAAGAGAAACGGACTCTGTTATATTTTAACAAAAAATAAATGAATGGTAACTACTAGGAATTGATTATGGACTGCTGTTACATATACTCTTTTTGGATAACTGTTAAGTAACTATATTATATGTATATTTATATTCCATTTGATCTATTGACTACTATTATACGACTAACCATTCTTAACTTACTCCCGATTTATTAGTTACAGTCTCTCACACTCACAGATACGTTTAGCTTAAACTGGTATAATTATTGTTTTATATTTTAGGGTATGATGCGGTCTCACTTGCTTGTATATTAACTACGTATGTCTGAAATACATTATTCATATAGTGGAAGCTCTGATTGTGTTCTGGTCTCAAAGGGAAGGGCAAGAAGAACCAATAAAAACTCAGAGTTGACTCTAGGCTACTCGTGCTGGTTAACGCACCATTGGTTTGGCATAGTGCTAAGGTCATGTAAGTCGGTGTTCTAATTGGCGATTTAGTCACGTGATATTTGACAACACTTTCCCTACCCTCTGGAATACCATAACATTTGACAGCAATTTAAACATGGCGTCTTGGTATAAAAGAAAACTGTACGAGACTGGCATATGTCAGTCTATCATGGTCTTGGACATAATGGAACTCAGTGCCTTGAAAAGTCATCAGGGATGACTTAGAACAAAAGTCAGTGGGGATCCTGTTGCAATTTCTTTTTACATTGTTAATCGAAAGCTCATTAAACAAATCAGGAATGACAAGTTACTATGATAACACAGCATGCCAGATGAAGCACTATAGCTGAATAGACGCAACTTCAAAGACGCTGGGTCCACTTCATGGAGATTTGGGATAAACATCAGGTCTTAACAGACTATAAAGAGGAATACCTAATCAAGATATCACAAGATCTTGGTTGAGAAAAGTACAGAGGTATCACACTATTGTTAATGCCAGATTGTCTTTAACAGTACCGCTAGACCGAATGAAAGATGCAGTAGGCACCCAACTTCTAGACCAGAATGATGGCTATCGTAAGGATAGATAGTGTACCAACTACATAACGACAGTGTGAATCACGGCCAAACAACCCATGGAGTGAAATTCACCAGTATATGTCAACTTACTTGATTATGAGAAAGTATGTGGTAGTGTGGACCACTTTGTGGAACTGCAGTGGTTGGTACTCTCAAGCCCACATAGATTGTCCTAGCTTCTGAACAGACCAACTTATTTATTCTTAAGCCACATTTTGACCCCGTTGATTATTCGCTTATTAACCACAACTTTTTATATGATCGTATGTATAAAAACTGTTTGCCCTATTCATTACGTGTCTGTAACTTATTTTTGGTCTGACTATAGATATTGAGTTGCGCTTGATTAAATCAAGCTGGCTCATTCTCCCTCTCCACTGCACGTTGGTTCGTCTTTACATTTACTCAACATTTTTCACTTCGTTTCTTTTTTTCTTTGTCTGTCTGGATCAATGAGTCTATGAAATATACAAATCCAAAATTCATTCTCATATTTGCCTTATTTTATTGTTATTCTCTAACGAGAATTAAATCGATATAAATGTACGGGGGTTGGTGGCATGCATACCGCGATAACGATCATCATACGACCTAACTGGAGACAGATACAGGGCAACTAGAGAACCCTCTTTGACATTATGGAGTACCCGAGAAGATCGTCATCATACGGAGTTCCTACAACGGACTATGTCGCAAAGTCGTGTGTTTGAGGAATCCCACAGATCCATTCCAGGTGAAGATTGATGCTAGACAAAGGTGACTGACTCACTTTTTCCTTTTCTTCTGGTGGTTGACTAGATTATGAAAACTCCCATATATCAGAAGCACGGAATGCAGTGGACATCTTAGATGACACAAACCTACTGTATACATGGGAGGTGCGGATAAAGTGGGTGTAGAGGCGGCTTCTTCAAAACTATGCCTCAACATTCATAAGAGAAAAAGCAAAATTCTGAAGTACAATGGAGTCAGCACTAACCGAATCACACTTGATTTCAATATCGCACACTTGGAAGGTGTCATTCGTAAATGAGGAGGATCTGATATACCTAAGGAATGAATTGCGGAAGTGAGAGCAGGATTCCCACATTTGAAGAACACCTAAAACTCAAAACAATTGTCACCCAATACCAAAGTTAAGATTTTCAACACTAACGTTAGAAAATTACGAAGCCTAAACTTGGAGAACTACCATCAATATCACCAAAAACGTACGTGTATTTAGAAGCAAATGCCTACGCAACATACCCAAGTTCCATTAGCCAGAGACTATCAGTAATAACCTACTATGGCAAACAACAAACGAGCTGCTCGTTGAGTTAGTCAAGAAAAGACACTAGGATGGATGGGACACTTTGAGGAAATCATGAAACTGTATCATAAGAAAAGGCCTAACTTAGAATCCTCAGAGAAAGCTGAAAAGAGACAGACAAAAGAACATATGATGATGGGAATTAGAAGCAAAAATCAAGATGATCAACGACTGGAAAGGATAGACCAGGACAGAGTTGCTCAGAAATCCTTAGTCGGCATCATCTACATTTAAGAGAAATAATAGGCTCAAGTGAGTTATCTAATTTAATAAACAATACATTCAACTTAATATCACATGGGTTTTGTGGATATTATAGTAATTTCAGTGGTTAAGATCATAAGTTAGGTGATATTAATCAACATATACTCACTACTGTCTGGCTTCAAGAGGCATTTTCTGGAGTTCTAGTGAGAAGCAGTGAACAGTGAAGTTCAACCAGATCTGTTGTGAGATAGTAACACACTGAAGACAATGGTAGATGTGTCACTCAATTTAGTGGATTAGTTAAATTTAGACATTAACACCGTTGGATGCCGTTCAACTCAGTGGTCTAATGATTAATTGCTCGCGCTGCAAAACCAGTAGGTCCTGGCTTTGAATCTCGCAGGGGGCGAGCTCGTGGATGCACACTGCTACTGAGGAGTCCCACAATAGAACAAAACGGTCGTCCAATACTTCCACGTTTTTCATGATAATCTCGCTTCAACTAATTCATAATCTTAACCATTGAAATTACATTCAATTTAAACAAAACAAAACAAAAACGCGCCATTTTAAATGACATAAGCATTTCTTTTGTTTGATTAAAAAAACAAAACAAAACAAAACAACGGAGTCAGTAGTTAACCTTCGTGTTAAAAATACATAAATAAATATAAAGTTCATATATTATTCAATGAATACAGATAATTAGATAAGTTAAATAGATAAGTAAATAATAATAATAATAATCGAAAAGAATAGTGAACAAAACCTGAATATAATTGAATATTAATTACCATTTGAGTATTTGAGTACAATAAACAAATACAAGTACATATATTAATGCATGGATACAGAGAAAAAAAAAATTCGAAAAAAGAAAAAAAAAAACTACATTAAAAATATCAGAAAGATAAATCGATCAAGTTTCTTTGACTGACACACACATACAATTTCATACTTTTTAAATTCATAATCACGACAACAACAACAACAACAACAACATTCCGACCAAACGAAAATAAAAAGCCTCAGAGATAAAGAACCAGGCTATAACTCACAGAAAAAAAAGAAAAGTTTTTAGAGGCAAATAAAAGAAATAATTGGGATATATCGTGATTCTTTTCTTTTCTTTTTTTTTTTTTACTTGGACAACAATAAATCGATAGTAATGAAGAGAATATCTTTGAGATGAGAAACATTGAAAACAAACAAACAAACAAAACGACGAGAGATTTGAATAGTAAATAAAGTTTTCTTTTTTTTTTAAAAAAAAAGGAAAGAAATAAATGCAGATATAATAGTTATGATGGACGAATAGGTAGGATAGACACATAATATGATGAGGTATACACACTGTCACTGTTGTTAAGAGTGTACGCGTACATAGATAGATGGATGGACGGACGGTAAGACAGACATCTAAACGCAGGGTAAATAAGGAAAGACTAGACGGAATTCACCATCGATATACATACATACATACACACACACAAACTACTGATATAAGAATACTAGTATTATATCTCTAACAGCAATAACAAACATCTCGAACTATAGTGAACTTCTAATATTGATTACAACTGATTATTGTTTTAAGAAACAGTAAAAAAAAAGTTATTTTTTTCTTTTGCCTTAATCTAAATATAGATGTGTCCGTTGTCAGGAAAAGAAATGAATGTATTTCACTAGTTATACCATTGTCGATTGAAATTATTTATTATATGTGGATAATTTATAGAGAGATATGACTAGAATATATGTTTAAAGAAACAACAATAACAACAACAACAAAGAATAGAATAAAACAAGAAGAGATCATGAACATGATTGAATACATTCATAAAAATTTCAATAGTTGAAATCATCAGTGTCAATGGAAGTTAGACCATTATGGAAAACTTGGAAGAAGTAGATGGCAAATTTTCCATAGTGGTCTACCTTCCATTGATTCAACTATTGAAATTACTATAATATCCACAAAAAAACCCTTCTGACATATATATGCATATGCATATTAGTGAAAGATCGACTTGATTGATTTCATTAATGAAACATAAAACGACAAGAAAAGGCAAAAAAAAGGAAAACAATTTTTAAGCAAAAAAAAAAGAAAAGAAACAATCAACAAATTAATATTAAATATGATTGCACATGAATATTTGAAGGAATAAAGGGGGAGTGGAGGGTGGGGTGGTGGTGATAAAACAATTTTTTCAAGAAAAAAAAAAGAGTCAGCTGTTCTATATGAAACAATTAATTGTGTTCATGTTGCTTTTTATATTGCACATTGTATATTCTGTTAATTAGTGGTAGTTATCAGAATGAAATGCATTCATTAAGTGAGTATTGCACATTATATAATTGAATAAATGCAAACAACATACATAAGTTATTGATATTTTAATACACATATATATTTGCCGCCTTTAGAGATCCCAGTAGAGTGTAATGGTTTTACAAAATGATCATTAGGAGAAAAACCCACTCACATACATACATACACATACACACACACACATACCGGCATAAAGGTAAAATTAACAGGAATGGTAATTTTTTAAGGAAGAAAAAAATCAATGAATTGTTTACATACGTTGATATTACAGATTTCAATTTCCATGTATAATAATATAAATGTCATGGGAATAATTTTTAAATAAAAGATATTCTAGCATGAGAAGAAAAAAAAAAAAAGAAACCCCGAAAGAAACATTTCTTAAAATATATATATCCATATGAGTAGAATAAATCAATAGTTTTGATACTAATTTGAGCGATGTAACATAGAACTATTAATATTTTAAGAAATGTATGCATTATGATAAAGATAGTTGGTGATAGAATGACTAAATATGAACAATGATGAACATAGAAATACAGATCAGAGAAACATTAACATCATATATATATATATATATATATATATATATATATATATATATATATATATATATATATATATATGTATTGGTGCCTGTGTGTTTGTTTTCGTGATGATGAAAGAATAAGAAAGAGGTAGAATTCATCCATCCAAACAAATTTATATTTTTACGAACGTAAACGATGTTTGGCATATGTTTTTAATGTACAACGACGACGATCACGTTGATGATTAGATAATATTTTATTAAATGATTCACGAGATTTTGAACGAGTACCATAATGTGATGATGTAATAAGCATATTATTATTAGAATGTGATGATGATGATGTTTTACAAATATATTTATTATTATTATTATTATCTGATTTTGATTTACAATATCGTCGACGACAACGACGACGACGACGACAATGTTGATATGATGATTTTAATGTTGATGTTTTATTCTTAGACAATAAATGATTATTATTATTATTATTATTATTATTATTATTATTATTATTATCAAGATAAAAATAATGTTTTTTTAAAGAATCATTTTTCGTAAAATTGATATCATTTTGACTTTTGAAAAAATCATCAAAATTAGGTGATTCAGATCGTTTAATTATACTTAAACATTTTCTTGAACGTTTTGTTGATGTTTTACAATTTTCTATTAATGTAATTGATTTATTAACAATAATATCTGATTCAGATTTAATTAATGAGGATTGATAATAAATATTATCAATATTCATATGTGAATTATGCAAAGAATCTTCATCAATTTTATTAATCATAGATTGTGTAATTCCAACATTTAGATCCATTTTTTCAGGGTTTAAATTTATAGAAGATTCTAAAGAATCCTTTTCAAATAATCGTACAACATCATTATTGATAGTAGTAGTAGTAGTAGTAGTGGAATTAATGAAATCATTTAATTGATTTTCAATTGTATTAGTGAATAGTTGTTGAGTTTTTGAAATCATTGATTTAGAAGATGAAATGTTATGCTTTATATGAGTTGTGGTATTTTGAGATGATAATGTAGAACTGTTGGATTCTGTCGAGGAAGAAGTTAGATCTAATGGAGATAATGGACTGATATCTGTTAGTTCACATTGATCTGGACTTGATGTAGGAATAGACAAAGTATTATTAATATTCAGTAGCGATGAAGTACTAGAAGCATGAAAAGAAAAAAAAATAATCATGTATAAAAAAGTTATGTGATGAATATTATGAATAATATTACTCATTAACTACTTCTATGAATCCGGTGTTCATCTTGTTGTGCTAATGCGGTATGGCAACTTGGATCGATGCATATACGTGCCTGGTCCTACGTTGTAGCTGACTGACTGACTATTAATATTCTAGGAAACTGACTGGAGACGAAAGTCAGTCTTAATGTATGAGCAAGATTCAAACTCTTGATTTATAAATGAGTGAACTTGATTAAATTAAGGAATGATTCGAAATTCCATCTCACCTAGTAATTAACTTAATCAGTAGTAACATGAAGTAAACTTTGGCATAAATATTCATTGGCCAGTTTCCGAATTTTATATCCGCATAGTAACAGTAAATATTAAACAGACGAATATCAAAGTTAGAAAAAAAAATATTAGTAGTATTGATGAGAATAAAAAATATAAGCGTCGAACAGATGGCGTGAAACAATGATTACACCTGTGCCACCATGACCAAATTTGAAACATATCACTTATAAGGTATTATTATCATTCAAAACCTAACAAGCAAGCATGCATATGATAATATCTTGGACTGCTCATTTGAATTCAATTGGTTTAAAGATTTTCGAGACCTAAGTTTCCTTTTACGTTCTTCGTATTCACCAACCGTATGTGTACGCATAAATCAGCATAAGAATTAACCATATTATGGTAGATAATCATCAACCATGGTCGACTGATTAAGGTTGAACATAAAACATATTACAGGTCTTGAAAAATATATGATCAAACGATTAACAAGTGGATACATAGAATAATCCAATAGTTGTAATCCCTGAAGTGGAAAAATAACGCTTACTGTGTGAAAGAGGAACATTTGGGTGCAGAGATCACCTGATTATTTAAAACCAGTATACCACTTTAACAGACAATGACCATCCAAATCAACTGGGTGGTAGTCATCCCATAACAGCCTTTACCGTATTATCAATGAAAAAATATATGCTTGACTAAAATACACCAAATTATGCATATGATGGCGCTAAAATACACATTTATGTAAATATTTCAATCCAAAGGGAGTCCAGTAGTGGACTGAACAGTTGTGGTAACGTCTCACACCATGAGGCCAGATGATGCGAGTCTGAATCCAACAGGGAGCATCAGCCCTCTGAAGATTGTAAGTATCTCTTCCTGATAAGTGCCAACAAGCATGATACATAAGGTTAGGGTTTGCTGATAACCATCTCAATATAAGTATGGGTGTGTTTGCTTCTGGCTTTGAATGTTCCATAGAATAGGAAAACTCAAATGATCGTACTTGAAAATGATTAATGTGTACGTTTTTTATTACTTTTCATTACTTTATTGTTAGTTACTGTGATGCTAGGTGATCTAGACTTCGTGCAAGTTGGAACTGAGATTCTCTCTGTGAAATTCGAATCTATGTGCTATAGAAAGAGACGTTAACATATTGAGCGCAACACTGGTCAGAGTAAGAGTGAACTGAAAGTTAGGTGCGGCCAAATAAAAAAAGTAGCATCAGTCCACAAAATCGCCATTAATTTGAGTTGTGCTGATGTATGCAGATTAACTGGTTGGAATCTGTGAGATAAACACGATTAGTTGGTTGGAGATGTTGGGTGACCTAGTTTAAAAACTATCACTGTGGCGCAGATGAATTCACTCTATCTTCCTCTAAACCTTGAATTTAAAAACGATTTTACCCGGCGAACGCATTCCTTCTTTTTGGTATTGATCCGACTCTATTGCTATTTATATTGCTCATTTCATTTGATTTTGCTTATTAGATATGGCAAATTATGCTAACGGATATTTGTGACAGGTTATGGGTGGTTGGAAGTATTTCCAGTGGGAATTTGTGTTATTTAAAAGTATAAAGACTTATGTCAGGTTCTATTACATTCTGGTTCAGTTAAAATATGGTTTTTATTACATAGCCTAGTACACAAGAGATATCTTAATTTTATTTTGCATTCAATAGTAGTTTGTATAGAAAGTTCAACACTAAATTGTAGACAATCACTAGCTAATCAGAAGAATGAAGTGTTAGTTTTATCAATCTGAATGAAACGCAACCCACTAACTAAATACAAGTATATGTATTTGACTTAGAGTTACAATATGTGCGTGTGTATGACCAAGCAACATGAAGTAGATGAAGGATTTGAATCAGTAACTTAATAATTGAACATCAAGCACTCTAATAATTAAGCTACTAGGTCATATTGTTAGTGATCATTGAGCAGTGATTAGTGTTATGTTTGTCTAGGCCTTCAGTGCTGAATGAAATCTATAGATCAAGTTGAAATGTGGTCACCAATTTAAGGGACTCGATAGCGCAAGTATTATGTTGAGATATTAAATGGTCTAAAGTAGCCAGTAGGAAATTCTCGGCCTAGGTTTTGTGCTATTTGCCACTCGTCACCAAAACATACCTAGGACTACGAAGTCGCTGATGCTTTCTATGAGATTCAAACCTGTGTCAAAGTTTGAGACATTACTACCAAGCGAGCACGAAACCCGGATTCGAGATTTCTTGCCGATTACCCACATCAACCCAACAAAAATCATGTATACATACATATATTACTTACTGTAATCGAGAGTTATCTAAATGAACCTCTTGAAATAATGAACTTAAATTTGGCTTGAATCTATTGACACATCGATTACGGACGTTTATATCTTTAGATCCTATGGGAATTATGGTGGAAAAATTCATTGGAGATTGTAAAATAGAACTACTTAATGAAATTGGAATAGGTTGATCATGTGTATGATTAGAATGAGCAGCAGCAGCAGCAGGGCGTAGCAGAACTGAACCACCACCACCACTACCATTCACAGTAGCATTTAGATGTCTATTCATAAAACTTGATTGATGAGTAGCTCGAATTTTACTATGTGTTGCTAAATGTGATTTTAAATTTGTCGACTGAGCAAAACGTTTACTACAACCAGGCTGTGGACACGGATACGGTCGATCCCCAGTATGAATACGTAAATGAGTACGTAGATTGAAATCCAAAGAAAAACGTTTACCACAACCCTAAAATAAGTAAGAAATAAAAAAATTTTTTACAATTAGAACTAGTAACACATTTAGATGAATGTTTATGTGCAAATGTAAAGATATTTATGTACTCAACACATGTAGTCACGCATTAATTATGTGATGACTACTCATTTATTAAGCAGCAAGTGAAACCAAAAACTGTGGAGTTCGGTACAAGATCATGTAACCTGGAAGTTAAAAGTGGAGTGTTTGGACAAATCAGTGGTGTAACTGAAAGTTTAGAAAGATGAATGATATTCTCAAACACATTTACTGACAGCATGTACAATACTCTATTATAGTTACACTCTGTTATATTCAACAGTATGGGTTGCCCCTAAAGATTTAAATTTGCAGCTTATGGTCTCACAGTCATACAATCGATCTATCTAGTAAGGATGACTCTTAAGGACAGTATTCTATTCAATATAATTCCATTAGATCATGACGATAGGGAAAAGAGACCACTGCGTTAACAATAGCATGCACAGTCAAAACGTATGGGTTATGAACCCCATTTATTATAAATGTTGTAATTAGACTAAATCACTTCAGAAACCTCGAAAGATTGAGGTACAGTGCAAACCTATGACATACTTCATAACTGTTGGGTATTTAAACTAATGGTCTACAAACCCACGACACTTAAAAGTATGAACCCTAATTCCCTGTTACTTAGAATTTTGAAACTATTCAATTAGTTTGGCTTTTTACGATATATTACAACAAATAAGTAGTATGTTTGTGGTGTATATTTCTATCTTCAGTTGTCATACGCACGTACACACGTACATAGGTTCAAGCTGCCACACTCTATTAGCATACCGGAATGAAATTTTCAAAAAAATATCCCAGGGTAGTCGAAGTAGTAGTAATAGTAATAGTAATAGAAGAGATTAGGCATTGAGGATACAAGTTGAAAAATTTTTTTATTGAATATAGAAGTTTAGGATTTAAGAGAAGACAAAGAGTGAATGCACCTATGTCAATGCAAGCCATGTCATCCAGCCTCCAAAGATTGACCCCAATAATCGCACGGATCCAAACCAGGTAGTCTGTACCTAACTACATGGCTCAGTCCAATAGTCAGTGTCTTCACTGACTGATGTCTTGTCTTGGTATTTATAGATTTATCAAATGTGATCAGTCAGTTAGTCCATTAATCAACTGAAAACAATTTTTATTTAAATCCTATATCAATCCAAAGAAACAAGATTGTTCATTCAATGAAAAGTCTAGGCAGAGTGAGTGACTACAAATAGTAAGTGGAAACTGATTATCTTTTATTATTGTGCAATAGAATTGCAAAAAATGACTGACGTTTTTGTCGAATTTTGTTGTAATCTAATTGTTCTGAGCAGGGTCTACGGGAATCACATCATATGTTTTGAGTTTTTTAAACTGTTGAAAACGTGTCTTACAGTCTTAGTTTAATAGTCAAGATATTATTTCGGCGGCCTGCTTGAATATCTGGGCTACCTGTTCCTCCCATCTAGATATTTCGTCAAGTTATCTGTTTTCTTGTTTGTTTTAACACACTATTATGTCTATTGAGCTCACAACCTATTCAGGCGCGTTTACGAAAAGTTTACAACCTTTCGCTGTACGGATTACAAAAAGGTACAACCAGCGACATCATGGTGGTTTGCAATATGCATTGAAACGAATGAACATTATTCAGATGTCGATTATCGAACTCCTAGCATCTAACTGGCCATCACTCAACATTTATCGTCAGGATCGATCAAGATATAAGAAAAGGAAACTTGTTGAAATACTTTATGCTGAGAATTCAATTGTGTACCACAAATATAATGTTGAATAAAGCTTATAATAATAAAATAATAAAAAATAAATAATAAAATATATTATAGGGCAACTCATACTTCTGAAGGGTCCCGACCTAAGAAAAAAATGTCCGGAACTTTGTAGTTTTTAACAGTTTATTTACTTGAAATTTAGTCTTTGCAATGAAAACCGTATTTCTATTGACCTAATCTTCAACATTTACTGAATTAAATGATTATAATTATGACTCAAAATGCAAAAACAAATGCTTACATCAAATGCGCATTGATAAGGCTTTTCTCCAGTATGAACAAGTTGATGACGTTTCAATTTGCTTGATTCAACAAATGCTTTACCACATTCTGCACAGATATGAACGCGTGGACCATGGGTATGTAAATGTTTACGCATTGCAGCTGTATCTCGAAATGTTTTCCCACAACCAAGATGAGGGCAGAATACAGTACGATTTGATGTGAAATCAGATGGGATTGTAGTGGTTACAACTGATGCTAAATCACCGGGATTATTGCCTCCTAATGAATTATGATGCATTGTGGAAATATAAAATCCATTTTGACTGTATAAAAGAGAAGATTGTAAATCTGTTGACTGCATAACGGAAGAATGTGTCATAAAATTTATTCCTTCGCTTTTCAGATATGTAGCATCTAGATAGACGGAAAATAGTAATATTACATGTTAAATTATAGTTGCATGAACATTAAAACTACAAATTTACAGCACTAATATATATTCGTCAAGTTATCAAACGTTAAACAGGTCATTCAGTTCCCTACATCAAAGTAGACAGATTGGGGTTCGAATTGTTGATTTAATACTTAAAATTTAAGTACTCCAAACATTAAACCGTCACCCATACATGTAAATAAGTGGACGTGTTTGGCTGTTGCCCTTCATTAAGTGCTAAACATCCTATGAACTTGTTCCCTATGGTTGTATTTATAGTATATATTTTTCATTTTACCATGTTTGGGTTTGTCACTAGCACAATATTTTCACATAGCTGGAAAGTGTCAACAAATCCAACCATTTCAGGATACAGATTACCAAATTTAGGAAACACAAGCAAGTCTCGGGGCCAAAAGGAAATATAGAACAGACTACTGAACAGGATACTTAGTTTAGTTTGAGCAGTCGTGTAGTAATAAACTTAGTTCTCACACAATATGGCTTAAAGCCGAGTACATAAACTCGTACTTTTAAGGAGTAGCAAACACGAAAATATGTGCATGCTTATGTCTCCAGCATAAAGAAGCTCATGTTTACAGTGATATTGGAACAATAAAGAACCATGATAAAAATCAAAGGATATGTACAATAATGAGTTGTAAGATTATAAGCAAAAATATCTTTATCATGCTGTCAGGATTAGATTGAAATTAGGCTTTTCTATAGCCAAAATGAGTAAGAAAAAATTGAATGAGATACTGTACAGGTAAAAAAATTGTGCATTTCGAATTATTAGCTACAGTATATTTTTAGTGGTAATGTATTTGACTGAACTAGAGTGATTTAACTGTGAAGACTCCACTGTCGTTTTGGACATTGTGAGCGCTTACCTCTAGAAGTGAACTTTTCCGAAAATTATTCTACAAGTACTAAATTAATTCATTTTGATGAATAAGTTTGTGAACAGTTGTTAGTGATGAAATAGATCCATAAGTGGTTCGAACTTGTAAAATTACATCAATTTAATTTAGTATTGACCACTGTATTGTATTAGGCGGAATTATTAATTCATTAATTAATTTGAACACATAAATATTGGTACAGAGGGGCACCAAATATATATGCGCCACACGAAACAATGATAATTTGAAGAGAAGGAGAAAAGAGAAAAAAAAAGTAATGAACGTGGGGAATTATAAAAAAAAAAGGAGAGAGAGAGAGAGAACAATGGTGGGGGAAACGGAAAGGTACAATCAGAAGAGATCTTTCAGTTAAGGAAGATACAACCACTTTTTATGAAGAAAGTAAGAGGTTACAGCACGATCGCCACTGGCTTCTATTCTTAGCCATATCTGATAACGTCTCTAGCCACTGCGTTACACCGTCTCTCGGACCCCAACCAGGGAGTCGTGAAGGACCAACACAAGACAGCCCTTTGCAGCTTTCTTTCATACCACGACACCATGTCATACACTGACCACCTCTCCGCTTTTTCCAACCAGTCCCAGAGTCGGCAAATAATGCACAAAGTGGAATTCTCTGGGACGACATTCGTAGAACATGTCCAAGCCACCGAAGTCGGTGTTTCAAGATGGTGACACCAATTTCATTATCGTCTCTGTGACCGAACACTCGATGCCGAACCTCTGCATTACTGACATGGTGTTGCCACTGGATGCCAGCAATCCTTCGGAGACAACGATGATCGAACACAGAGAGTCGTCTAACATCCTCAACTCGGAGAGGCCAGGTTTCACAAGCATAGAGCAAAACTGCTCTCACCGTCGCGTTGTAGATCCGACCTTTTACAGCCAGACTAACATCACGAAGGCGCCAAAGGTGGCCCAGATTGGCATAAGCCGCTCTGGCTTTCACTATACGAGCATTGATCTCATCACTCACACCACCACCAGCACTTATGCAGCTACCTAGATACACGAACTTCTCGACTACTTCAATCTGCTCACCATCCAGAGTGAGAACAGGATTAGAATCCTGCCAGTCTTGTAGAAGTACTTTGCACTTCGAAGGTGCAAAGCACATACCATACCTTGATTGCATCCGGGCTGCAATCTGTCGGGGCATAGGCGGAGATGACGAAAAGACATCGTTTCTCACGCCGATTTCTTCTCACTTTGATGGAACTTTCTAATCTAACAGCCCATAACCGACTGTTAATGGGGATCCAGTCGACTAGTGCTGCCTCAGCTCTTGCGCTTAGTGCGACACCAACGCCAGCAAGACCAGACGAAGATGCCACAGGGTCCCCGGATAAGCGCACATAAAACAAGCTTTTTGAAGTGACAGATGGAGAGCGAACTTGTAGTACTTCACCAGAGTCTTGAATACGGGTCTCGGATAGACAACACACATCAATATTAAGACTTTCCAAAGACATAGCCAACCCTATCTGTTGTCCGACGTGCATAAGTGTGCGAACGTTGAAGGTAGCCAGTTTGAATGGTGCACGCGGTTTCAGAAAAACTGCTTCAGTACTCATGTTCGGTAGTAACATACAATTTTCAACCAGGCAGTGACTCGGGAACGTTTAGATAAAGCTGAATTTTCACCATAGGTGAGCTGCTGTCTAGGTCGAAACGCATATATAAAGTAGGAATAAGAGAGGGTGAATAAATGACGTGGTAGAGTAATAATAATAATAATAATAATAATAATAATAATAGTACGAGTTATTTCAATGTTAATCAGATAGAAAGGAATATTTTCCATAAGCGAATTGTTCACCATAGTTTTAGTGAGTGGGCTGGGATACTGCCCGGGTGCCCAGACCGAAGCAGGTGGTTTTCTTAGGGGGCCACACCCCGAGCCTTTGACCTAAAGGTCTAGTCCACAAGGCAGTGGAGCATCGTGAGGAGATGCAGTCCCATGGAAGCCGGTGACCAAAAGTTGGTTCATACGCCATTTGTTCCTTCAGGATACTGGAGCCCATGTGCACCATAGAATTGGGATCCGGTTATAGCGCCGGACATTCGCTTTTCGTCCTCTCATTTTCGTAAACAACACCCATGGTGCGAGAAGGCAGTGAGTAGGACTTCCCTGGCAGAGGCTGTATACGCGTGGCCGTGTGAGAGTATTTCGAGAGGGAGGGCTAACCCTCCCCGCTCTCGGCCATACCAGGGCATTATTTAGAAGATACAAGTGTTGGTCAGACACTATCAGCAACAAACTACTGTGGGAGAGAATAAACAATATCCCAGTGGAGGAAGAAATCAGGAAGAAGTGCTGGAAGTGGATAGGATACACATTCAGGAAAGTACCCAACTGAGTCACAAGACAAGCCCTCACTTGGAATCTTTAAGACCGAAGGAGAAATGGAAGATCATAGAGCAGGTTACTCCGAGAAATGGAGACAGACACGAGAAAAATGTACAACACTGGGATAGAACTGGAAAGGAAGGTCCAGGAAAGAGTGGGTTGGAGAATGTTGATCAGCGCTCTATGCTACATTGGGAGTAACAGGCGTAAATAAGTAAGTGAACTGTACTTTTGATATCTTATAGTTACGAAATTTCGTTACTATTCATAGAATAACATTCAGAAAAAAAAATTTTCATTCTCGATCTATAGCATTACAGATATTTTAAACTCTTATAGTAACTATAGGCAAACTGAAAATAAACAGAAAATAATATATTTCCCTGTGACTGGGTTTATAACTTGATAGTTAAGGTATTAGGTTTACAATAGATTAGGCTGAAAAATCAAACTCTTCTGCACTTAGTTTAGTTTGAGCAGTTGTGAAGTAATAAACTTAGTTCTCATACAATATATGGCTTAAAGTTGAGTACATAAACTCGTACTTGCAAAATAAATCACACAAGAACTTATTCGGTATGGTAAATTCGATAATTCATTTTTTCTACACATAGTAATTACTCGCCAATTATGTGTACAACTGATCTTTAGTAAATGAACAAAAAAGTAATTATAATTCTCTATCTTAGGGGAATGAACAAAATTTTTTATGGGTGTGACATAAATTTATGAGTATGTACTTATTTATTGCTAAGAAATAAAATACGGCAAAACTAGAATATACCCTTGAATTAAACAATATGGATACTATTTAATTGTGACTCATAAAAGGACAATATAACTCAGATTTTATTTTTTTTTCACCAATTAAAATTGATAAGCTACTAGGTATAGTGATGGATCCATAGATGTTCTTGTTCTTCCATTTTTCGACAACGGTAAGAGTCATACGCTTTTCTAACCTGACAATTCACTGCATTCAAAATTACAAATAATAATTTTTAGTACAGTCTGTCCTCAATATGATTGACCAGAGATGAACAAATGTATGATCAAGGTTGTCAAAATATGTTACCCCCACCAATAAGTCGCCAAACACAGTAAATTGATGGTTACAATAGCAAGGCAATAACCAGGATAACTAGGGATACGACTGTATATCAATTCCACCGACCCGATAAACGATGTCACATATTTTATACTTATGAACGCCTGGTTGAAATGGCCAGAGATTGTTCCTATTGTCCTACTGTCCACCAACAAAATCCTTTCAATATAGGTAAATTGTCTATTGCAACTGGTTGCAAGACACCTAAGTGTTATATAATGGGTCACAGTTCACAAAGTTCTGACGCTGTCAAGCTATAAATCAAGTGTGTTCGTCCCATATAATACACAGTCGAAATCACACCTCCAAGTAAGTGCTTCTACAAACAAAGGGAGGGAGTACAAGGCTTCTTATCTATCGATCGCATTTTGCCTAATAGCGCAGCTCCTAACAAATTAACCAAAAATGGAAACCTTAATGGACCGAAACTTAAGAACTCATTATACCATGATGCCATAGGGACGACCCGAAATCTAAACTAACATTCCAGCATTTGAAGTTGGTACACAAGTTTTCTTACAACTACCGGGTTCCCGTGACCAGTAGGATATAAAGGTATATAACAATGAGGTAAGAAAGGGTATTTCATATGACTTAGCTGCGAGAGAAATACTACTGAGTCGAATACAACCAAAACATACCCTTGCTGAACACCTTCAGTTTATTAACCATGGAAAATTCAAACAACCCGAACGCCTAAGTCGGATTTACGAATAAAACGGTCCGACTAATGAAGATGGAAGACGGTACAAGTCCAGATGAACCGGGAAAAAGTTAGCTGTTAATTGGCAGCATGTTTTAGAAATGCTAAACCCCCAGACACAACGTATCAGATGGAATTATTTGTAAGATTATATGTTAACTTAGTGATTTTTGAGCGTTTGAATCCCAGTAGGCTTTTATTGCATTGTGACAATTTCTTCTTAACCACTAAATATAATTCGTATATAAGTGAAAGAATTTTCTTCGGTTACTACTGGAAAAAAATCTTCCCCAAAATATTTATTTATGGATCAGCTGGGGGTAAGAAGGGAACTATGGTGTCCTGGTATTAAAGTGTATTCGAGTTATCGTTGTTATTATAGTCATATCAGTAACATAGTAAATAACGGTGAGAAGTGATAGTGCCAGACAGTTAACCAAACTGAAGTAAGTGGAGTGGAAACTTAATCTGATACTTTAAAGTTGAAATTTAAAACCTTTAACAACTTCGTAAATTAAGTGTTGTAAACCTAAAACGGACACCAGGTAAATTATTATTCATTAAAGAAAATAATAAACACATTTTACAAGATTGTATGCCGATTTAACTGTAAGTGGTCTTAAAAAGAAACTATTGGAGCATAATAACTAAAAGTTACCTGATCTAGAATTGGGATATGATGAGGCAATCACAATAGCTGGTTTTCTAAGAGTGAGTGGTGTATTAGAGTTAACGAATGCAACTTTCGGAAACCAAGTTGGACTACCTGCTGATTCTTTCATTGATCCGGAAAAACGAGAAGCAGCTAGAAACCCGCAATGCGCAAAACGTGTAGAAGTGAATGTTGGTTTAAAACATGGCTTTAATTCATTAAATGAACTTTTCGTACGAAGGATGGATGCACCTGATTTCAGTGTTATTTGTCCGCAACGGCGATATTTTGACTTCAATGAAAGACAAGCTGATATTGGCCTAGATGGATAGCTCGGGTTAACTGTGGTGGTTAGATGGTTAACGTGAGATGGTAGTCGTATTAGTTCGGTTTTTTTTGCAGAAGATAATGACGATACAGGTACTACGGTAGGGATTTTAGTCGCAGATTCATTTGAGGTTGAGTTAGATGAATCAGTCGATCGAATATGTTTTATTTGGACATAATCATCAGAGTGATTTGTAGCACAATTATTTGACGAAAACAAACTGCATGCATCCACTTCTGAATCAGATGGATTTATCTGTGAAGAATCTGAATAATTAGATTCAGTGTGAAATAATGGTAATGGAATATGTAGATCGGAAAGCCTCTCCAAAGAAACATCATCACCATCAATGATATCGTGACTGGCTACATGATCTTTGTCAAACACTTCATCTATACTATCTGATGAAGTTACTCCGATGTCATTAGGGATTGATAATGGACTATCGGGGTTACATAAATAAGCTTTATCAGTTATCTCTTCAGATCCATCATTCCACGAACATTTATTATGCTTCTGTTCATCGGAAAAAGAATTTTTATCATGGAAAACATCGTGTTCCTTATTACCTACAAGCAAAAGAATATATATATATATATATATATAATAAACTAAAGCGAAATGATAGTTGATACACAAAAACACGCCTCCAAATGCCCTGGTTAGGCCGAGAGTGGGGAGAGTCAGCTGTCCCTCTCGAGATGCTCTCACATGGCCAAGTGCATACAACCACTGTCAGGGAAGTCCTACTAACTGCTTTCTAGCAGTGAACCTAACTGTAAGAAATCAAGTTAAAATGGGAAGAAACTGGGCAAAAAATCTGTAAAATAACACCACGTTCAAGAGTTAGGAGAAAACAAGAAATAAATCTGCACGACAGAAATCGGCCTTGATCTATGTTAACTAAGCATGTAGTTCCCTGTACAACTTAAATGAGCAAACTCATTAATTGGTACGGTTTAGTGTGATCGAAAAACAAACTCATCGATGATGCTGTCAAACGCCCACCACTTCGATTGGTTTTGACTTTGGTGTGACTATGCTTACTTGTTTCCCGATCACAAACCTTATTGACTTACTGCTTAGTACGTGATATTTTTGTCGCTTCATTTTCTCCTTTTAACGGATTGAACTGATTTCTGTTTACGCACTAATTGTATTAATTTATGTTCTAGAAACGGATTTAAGTATTACAAAGCAAACAACTTACTTGTTTCAACTTTGGTCGTGCCAAGACTCTGAAAGTCTAGGAACTTATCAGAAAATTCATCTGTAGGGAAATTAAATCCTACATATTTTATGTTGACTTTGGGCAGTAGTCTTTTACCAACGTTCTCTGTGAAAACCAAAGTACCATGTCGATGTGATAATATAAATCTAGGTCTAGAGAATTAGAAAATGGTTGGTGGTAGACAGAATGAACTGGAGTGCTGTTATGTGAACGTGGATATCTGGCTGATCTTACTCTGGAGAAATGTTTTCGGAGTAATTTGAGAAACGAACTAGACTGTGATTTACAATCTCATTAAGTCGGAAGTGTAACCACAGGGTTAAAAGGTCAGTCAGTCAGCTGGACTGGGAGCAGACATGAGTGCCGTCTTTTTCCGAGATAGTCTCACTTGGATTTGACTTATTAATTCCAGTTTCTTTTATTAGTCTGTAGAGCTGTCTTGTGTTACCTACAGCCGCAGCTTTTTCCATCTCTTTTGCTTTTGTTGCCCACCACTGCTCACGGTCGTTCCTTAGACTTTTTCTTAACCTAGATCTGATTTGTTTTCGCTCTTCACCGTGTTCAAAGCCTGATGGGATGAGTTTACGAGAATCTATCGGTGCAATAGACTTAGTAGAAACCCATTGGGTTTAAATCACTAATAGATGTTGCTGCTATTTCCAAGCAACATCTGAGTCAGCCTCGTTTTCAAAACTACCTAAGTGTAACCTCAGTTGTTCCTGGAGTCTATTTTTGGCTTTCTCATCAGTGAGTTCGACTCTAATGGATCTTCTTAATGTGGTTTTTCTGCATCCAGCGAGGTGCAAGCAAATGCGTACTCGTATTAAAGCATGATCCAAACAGGTATTCCAGAACAAGCGACAATCTTCTGTTGAGCCTCTCCAACGACGATTGATGGCAATATGGTCGAGTTCATCGTTAGTTTGGTGTAGGAGTCACCATGTTAGGCGACGTTTCTCCTTATTCTTAAAATTGGTGTTTGCTAAAAATAAAAGATTATCTGAGCACAGTTGCAGTAGACGATCATCATTATCTGTTTAATGAGCGGGGATATTAAAATAGCCACCCAACTGTCTTTCTGATTGATTTAAGCTATCTACTTGGGTATTAAAGTCACCTGCGCCTAGTATTGTGTTTAAATGTTTAGATTTTTGAAGAAGTTCGGAAAGCTTTCCGTAAAATTTATCTTTCGCTTCAATGAGAGCGTAGGCAGGAACGACGAAAAGGCGACGACGTATGTCCCTATCCTTCCAATTTCTTACGGAGCTATTTAGCCGAACAGCACATAGGCGACTGTTGACGGGGATCCATTCTAACAGTGCTTGTTCTGCCCTCGTACTTAGTGCTATATCTACACCCGCCAATTCACCAGAACTAGCCATCGGGTCTCCATATAAACGGAGGTGTATCTCGTCGACTCTCCGTTTTGACGAGGTGAAGTCTAGTGAGTGGCCACACTAGGATCGTGCGTGTTTTTGGACAGTATACGTCAATAACACGAGACTTTAGCGTCTTAGCCAAGAATTCCTGCTGGCTGATTTGACGTTGAAGGCTTCAATGTGTAGTTTGGAGCGAGGTTTCAGAAGACCTGGGACAGTTTCGCGCACTAGAATCGTTGGCCATGGTGACACTTGAGGAGGAAGTTAGAAGAGCAAGTTTAGAGTTGAAAACCGAGGTGGAAGGAGTAATAGGAACTGAAGATGAAGATTGATTATGAATACAGTGATCTTGAGTGCTGTTAGAGGTATGACGGCGGTTATCACTTATCGGTTGCCCATACCGTGGAAGGGTCCTTTTAGTGGCATATGAAAAGGAAATTGGGTTAGAGGTGATCTTAGTGACCTGAGAGCGAGACCGCAGTGCCCAGGGAACAATTGTTTAAGGTCGGTCACACACACGAAGTTTTCGTAGCTAATTTTCGTGTTAGATCCGTACTTGCTAGGACCTTACTCCCGGAGACGGAAATCCGTGAGACAAGGTAAGGTGTGTAGTTTCAGGATCGACATTTTCTAACCCCATCCCTCCTTGTGGGAAGACATCATCTCTATTATGCTGGTTGTCTGAAGGAAACACCTTACTGTTGTCACACCTGTACAATCAACAATACGACTTCGCCCTCGTACATTGGGTTTGCTGCTTTTCGTCTCACCGCTCGTCAACCGACCTGTCTAGCATGGTAGGACCTTGAGGAACGATTGTTCCAGCCGGTATAGCTCGATTGGTTTATCACGATGGGCAAGCCCGACTATCACGTCAAGGTAGCAGCAACGGTCGGCAGGGTTAAAAGGACAACTACTTGATATCGGCTAAAATACTTTCTTGAATAACTTTTGATTTCGTACTACTGGCTTTAAAATTTCTAAACCCTACAATTATTAATCATCATGAGTATATGAAGTTGATGCACGCATGGTATACTAAGCGATTATTTTCAATGACAGAAACAGATTGGGTGTTATTTAGACAAATGTGCTTAGACCTAAATTTGAGTTCGTCTTAGAATATTTAGATGACCTACATTAAGGTAAATTAGGGGTAAAGATTGGCAGGCGAATGATATCACAGAATTTCAATATATACAGATGGGCTCCAATTACAACATACTAGTTACAGTTGCTTTAAGTAAACCCATGCGTTAGTTTAATTGAGCCACTTGGAAAAAACGAGATAAGAAGAAATGTCATTGAACATCACTCGTAATAGACGGATTAAACAAGATCGCATCGAAGCTAAATGCCACTTGGTAGTTATTTTACGCGCATCTCCATAGAAAATGTGCAAGATAAATTAATACTTCGCTACAATCAAGTAACTGAATGCTTTAAAAATACAGAACTACTTAAACAACTAGGGACTGAGCGAAATGACGATGTCGCCTAGTGGTTAACATAGGCTGTTAAATATTGAAACTGGGTGGACATAAATGCTGCTATTAGCAGTTTTCTCAAAAATAAAACTTTTTCAGAAGCTGTCTTTTTGTTACGCCACCCGATTTAGGTATCAGGCCCTTAGTTACTAGCTATATAGTTTGCAGGCTTTGATTTAATTACTTTGGACTCTACTCTTGACTTTACTCATGAATAGCTTGATACAATAAGAATGGACCATGTATTCTAAAAATACTCGTTTTAAAGGAAATATCGAGTCTAACCATTGCACTACTCACACAACTGCTTTATCACGGTAATGTGACGCTAAGACATCAGGAGTAAAAGGGCAATCCTTTCAAACGGGAAAAGATATTACACCTACGTGTGCCGTCTCATTTATTATATTATTATTTATTTTAACACATAGGTATTGGTACAAGGAGGCACCAAATACATATGCGCCACACAAATCTCATTTGATTTGTGTGACGGCTGTGATACTGCCCGGGTGCCCAAACCGAAGCAGATGGTTTTCTCAGGGGGCCACACCTCGAGCCTTCGACCTGAACGTCTGACCCACAAGGCAGTGGAGCATCGTAAGGAGATGCAGTCCCATGGTAGCCGGTGACCAACGATTGGTTCATACGCCATTTGTTCCTGCAGGATACTGGAGCCAGCCCATGTGCACCATTGGTTTGGGGTCTGGTTAAAGCCAGTGCCGTACATTCGCTTTTCATCCTCTCATTTTCGTAAACAACACCCCCGCCACGAGAAGGCAGTGAGTAGGGCTCCCCTGGCAGAGGCTATATACGCGTGGCCATGTGAGAGGATTTCGAGAGGGAGAGCGGACTCTCCACACTCTCGGCGGTACCAGGGCATTTGGAGGCACAGGTCCTCTTACCGGGTAGTCATCTCCAGGAGGAGGTAGTGTCCGCACCTTCAGCTAACTCGCTTGAAAGACCAAACGTATGTAAAAGCTTGCTCGAGAAGAACTCATATTAATCTTCAGTCTCAAAAGCACAGGTCAGAAATATGGATCCGCGTGCACTAATACAGGCATCAAACAGACATCAGTTACACAAACATATCTAAATACTATTCAGTAACAGACAAAGGATTCATAAATTACTTTAACATCCTACATGGACATTGTAATGGGTTTCGCATTAGAAGATAGTGTTAAAACAGATACATACCTTTATCTTTATGACTGGTACTGATTCGTGAACTCTTGGTAGAGAATAGTCCAAACCTCCTTGGAAGTCCTTCCATATATGGTGGTTGATCAATATTTGATGCGAAGTGTTCTTCACCAATAACTTCCTCACGTACATCTAAAAGGTCCGCAGAGTCCATCAGAAATAGAGCACCATAAGAATCATTATTAGGTATTTCTGGATATATTTCCACATTATCGAGTGAGAAATCAGACTGAAGATCAACAGTGGAGTAACAGTTGGTAGAAAAGTCATTGTTAAGTTCATTTTTTATTGAGGAATCATCGAAAAACGAATCAATCATTACTTTGGCAACACACTTAGACGCACCGCGGAAGATACGCTAGCATATTCAGTGTTCAGTTTCAATTTCGAGTTTCAGTTTTGAGTTGGGGAAGGACGGGAGACCAAATGGCTCGTGTTAGTCTTGGAAATAGAAGTCTCTCAGTTGACTCAACATTTTAAAAAAAATATCGACATAAGGAGATTCAATTATATGTCGGGGAAATAAATTCTATTAGTAAATTATTCGATAGTCAGCTGACAAGCAATTTGTTATGGGTTTGTGAACGTTTTCAGAGTGTCCCTGAAAAAATTTCCGTCTTGGAAGACAAGAAAATTGAGGGCATATCAGGTTCAAATCCATCATTAAGTAATTTAAAAACTGTGATAAGTCGCCTCTGGTTCTCCTATTTGACAATGGAAATAGGTTTAGGTTGACCAGTCAGAAATCATACAGGAGCCTTATTGTTTCGGGAACATATGACTGTCCGACCAATCGTCCCAATATTACTCAAGCTTTCTTATAACCAGCAGGGGCGTCCATCATGAGGCATCCCTCGATGGATGTTTTCACCTTGCCCTTGCAATTATGTATCAGGTAAAGCAAATTCTGACGCCACATAGGTCTCAAACTGAAGCACAAACTTTCAGTGCCTTCTTGGCTGTAAATATAAGTAGCTCAATTCTGCCTTAGGGAGTTTATGACCTGCCACAACCGGCGCAAGTGGTTTCATGCTCTTCTCTAATATTTCGGGCTTCTGCTTCTCGTCTAAACTGAAATCTTTTGCGTCATCTACTGTCAAATCAGAACTAGCATCACTATCATTATAATTACTTCTATTTAAGACTGAACTATGACACAGAAGAATATCAAAATGCACTTTCTTTGTCTAAGGGAATTCCTCATATAATTTGGCTCCATTGACACAAACCAGCTTCGAGCTTGACTTTTTATGGCGTATGCTTGGCATCACGAACGGGGGACTAAAATATCCCGAGAAACGATACTTAGAATTTTAGGGGTGACCACGATAGTTATAGCCAAACGACTTCGTTCAGTCAGCGGATATTTGTTTAGGTCCGTAGATTTCAAACTGAGTTTGCAATCTACACAATGTTACAGGATCTTCAGACGGTTGCAAAAATGGATTATGTTTTAGAGAGCTATGCAGTGATGTATGGTACTATGTTATAGCATATGGATCTCTAAGTAAGCCACAGGCATTTAGGAAAGTATAATAGCGACGATAAATCAACAGAATGTTGATAAAAGCAGTAAACTAATGAAAAATAAACAAGAAAGAATTCGTATGAATCTGTTGTTGGTAGTGTTCTGCGTTAATCAAACCAGGCGATAATTTCAGGCTCAAAAAAGACAAGACCACTGGTAGTTGAGTAGCAAATTATGGGGTTTACGCGATGATTAATCAGGACCATAGTGTGCGTAGGCAGAACTCAAGAGTAAATTCGAAGTGCTCCACCTGAAGGCCAGTACTTAACAGAGTATCTAAAGGTTTTGTCCTAAGTCCTTTACTTTTTAAATTGTATGTGAACGATCTCCCAAGTTTAGCCGAGTTCCCAATGCTATTATACGCTGACGATGCAAAATTCTGGGGAGAAATAACAGGAGACTAAGATTCATGCTCACTTCGGGCAGACTTAAATATTGTGATTAACTGGTCTAAGGAGTGGCTGATGCTTATGAACGTGGCAAAGCGTGTCTACATGCACTGTGGGGATACAAAAGTAAATAGGTACAGCATAAGGGAAGTGCCTATACCCGTGGTCTGGTCTCATAAGTATCTTGTGGTGGCAGTGAGTCATGGTCTAAAGACTACGGCCCATTGCCGGGAGGTTGTAGCTACGGGTTTAAGAAACTTATGGGCTTTAGGACGGACATTCACCAAGTTAGATATCATCATGTTCACAACATTAAACACAATCTTAGTGAGAAATAATCTTGAGAACTGTTTAAAAGGTGACTCGGATGTCTTGAAAAAAAGTCTAGAGAGCAGCTGTCCATGCAATTTCAGAACTCTGTGGTTTGCCATACAAAGAGCGGCTTGCAAAGCTAGATCTCTTCGCTCTGTCCTATCAAAGATTAGGGGTTATCTGATTTTGATGCATAGGATACTAAGAAATGATTTTGGACCCAACATGTTCTCTCTTTTTCTTACCACTAAACCGGGACATGACAGGCGAGTGGAAAAACCAAGAACGAACAAAATGCCTATGGCACACAGGTCTTCAAACTGATCCACCAATTCTTGGGACCTGTTACCCGCAAACTCAATTGACTCATTGAGGAGAAAACTAGACACTCACAGAAGCATACCAAAGTACGAATTACATAGGATGTGGGCCTTCTGTACCTACTACACAAAAATGAATCTGATAGGCATCTCTTGCAATAACATCGAATGGCATTTCGGTGCATTCATTCGGCTCACTAGAGTAAATAAAACATCTACAAAATGCATTAGATTAAAATATTGGTAAAGATCCATTTCACTAACACAAGCACGGTTTTAAAAGAGAGAACCAGGGTTTTGTTTGTTTTTTTCAGTTTACAATTGTCTCTTTCTTGCGAGGGTCTTTAGGAATTTCGGATGTCATCTCGGTAACCATGTAGGTGTTCTTCTGCATGTTCTGGGGTTTGTTTATTATGCCCTAACAATTGAATTTAACCATTAAAAATTCCGGTACAAAAGTTTCTTATTTTCTGCTCCTTTTTATCGTTAATCATCGCGTTCTGAAGATCCTAATCAACCAACAAAAGGGAAAATGAGTTGGAAAATAAAGGGGAAACGCGCCAAAATTTCTGTTTTTTCTCCTGTTTGGGGGAAATACTGCGGATTTCCCCCTTTTTGTCGCTCTGTCTCTCAAATGTCGCCGAATTGTCTACTTTTCGCCTAAATATTTGCCGAATTGTCTGCTTTTTGCCTACCCAATCAACCAATAAAGGGGAAATAAAGGCGAAAAAAGGGGAAATAAAGGGGAAAACGCGCCAAAATGTCGCCTTTTTCGCCTGTCTGGGGGAAATAACGCGGATTTCCCCCTTTTTGTCGCCTTGTCGCTAAATTGTCTACTTTTCGCCTAAATATCCGCAGAATTGTCTACTTTTCGCCTAAATATCCGCAGAATTGTCTACTTTTTGCCTAAATATCCGCAGAATTGTCTACTTTTCGCGTAAATATCCGCAGAATTGTCTACTTTTCGCCTAAATATCCGCAGAATTGTCTACTTTTCGCCTAAATATCCGCCGAATTGTCTACTTTTCGCCTAAATATCCGCAGAATTGTCTTCTTTTCGCCTAAATATCCGCCGAATTGTCTACTTTTCGCCTAAATATCCGCCTAATTGTCTACTTTACGCCTCAAAATAAATGCACACAAAATTGCGCGTTTTTTATCCAACCTTAAAATCGCCATTGGCACTACCCAAAAGTTCTCCAAAATTCGCATTTACTTCTACAACAAACCACAGCGAAAGTGCAATGGATGGGAAAAGCGCTATATATGTTTATATATTTTTATTTCAAAGGAAAAGCGTTTTGTTTTACAACATAATAGCGGAAGCTTGAGCATCAGTCGTTTAGCATTTCATTTGTAATTCCAAATTCGTCGTGCTTTGAGATCTGCAACAGAAGAAACATGTGATGTCTTATTTATAACACATGTGCATTTAATCGAAAGTTCACTAACAATGAGTAAGAATTCAAGATCTCTAAAGAAAATATGTTTATTAAAAATTAGGTACAACATCAAACAAAGTTACACCGACTACATTCTTCAGCAACGTTTGTTCGGCTATTGACAGTGAAAACAGTCGTCCTGTGAATTCTGAATAGTAAAAAAATGAAAAGTCAAAACGAATTCTGAAAAACATGGCCGAAGACACAGAAAAGTACTTTAAGCTAAACTTACGGTTATGTTCGTTAAGACTGTTGACTGCAACTATAAAGAAGTAGGGAAATTATCACTTTAAATTAGTACATACCTGCTCTTGCTTCCGTCGATTACGCTTCATCAACTTGTCTCTGACGTCATGGAAATAACCTTGTGTCGCGATGTCGTAAAGCTTCGCAAGGTCTTTTTCATTAACGGAGGATGACAAGAAGCGATTTGTCAATGCACCTGAAGTTTAATTTATAAGTATAGGTTACTTCGTATGCAGCCATAAAACCGACATTTCTGAAGTGCGCGCTTTGAAGAAGTGCCCAGCAATGTGAAATTACTGGCCACCTCAGGTGTCATGATGTACGACAAAACGTAACGCATTGACATTTTAGGGTCATCACCCATTAACCTCGTCAGCATCGCCATCTGTTATACAACGATGTCAGTAAATTAATGTTGCTGACTTACAAATCTGTCCATCGTTTCCTTCTGCTGCAACCCAGTGTCCAGCATCTGCAGTTCCTCTTCCGATGACAAAGGAAACTGCTGACTCGATACTCCGCAATCGAATTGATGCGGATGATCATGTTCACTAAACTTCGCTAGTAGTACCTTGACATTTGTACTCAAGTCAGTAATTGCTGAAGACATGTTTTGCATTGTCTTACTCAAATCAGCAATAGCTGACGACATGTTCTTCAAGGTTGTGTGCAACCTATCAAATCTTAAAAACGTCAATTGATGGTACAGGTGACTTACTGGCCCGCTGAAGCACAGTCTACATGCTTAGATTCCACTGTTGATGGTGATGTTTCTAATTGTGTAGAACTACTTCATTAACATTTACATAGAAATGAAACTTACTTGGCAATTGGCGAGACAACTTTGTCGAACAACCGAAACTTCGGATAATGCACTTGGCTATTTCCAGCCTGCATCTCGGCCACATCCATATCGACTGAATTGTAAAGAAACCCTTCTTTACGCTTCAATGCACCTCTAAGAAAAGTTAGTAATAAAAATGTACAGACCTCTTTGGTTTTTCCGTGTTTAACGGCAATGTGTTCTCATCCGTTGACGTGTTATTGCGATGCTGCTCCAGTATTTGTAGGGACACTAACAT